AGGCCCAGCGAGCGCAGCGATTCATTGACGGGCTTTACCCAGCAGTCCGTCATAACATCGTAGGCCACGGGACGCAGACGTATGCTCGTGCAGTCTCCATTGCTCAGGAGGTGGATGCTAGCCTTAGGAGGGAGGCCGTTCGTGCTCAGTCGTCTTCAGTTCCACCGATATCAGCTCTACCATCTAACCAACCGCCCAAGAACAATAAGAGGAAGGATAAGGGTGCCCAGACAGATAAGAGGGCTCGACGGAGGCTACAGCAGGTTCCACAGTGCCCGACATGTGGATGACATCACCGAGGCGAGTGTCGCTTTGGTCAGGATGTGTGCTACTATTGTCACGAGGCCGGACACTTCGCGAACCATTGTCCGAAGAAGGCTCAGCAGCCTCAGCAGCCTCAGCAGCCACCGCAGCAGCAGCAGCCCCGTCAGCAGGCACAGAGGCAGCCCCAGCAGCAGCAGCAGAGGGGCAGACAGTAGGCCAGAGTCTATGCCATTGATCAGGCAGAGGCCGAGCAGCAGCCAGGTACCATGTCCGGAATGGTTATTCTTAATAATGTTCATGTGTTTGCTTTATTTGATACCGGAGCGACGCATACTTTCATTTCACGACGATGTCTTGACGCCATCGGAGTTCGCGCTACTACCGCTATCGATCCTCTCGAGGTGAGTTTGGCCTCGGGAAGAAAGATAGTGACTTCAGCTAAAGCCTCAGATCTTAGCCTTTCCATCGATGGCCGAGTTTTGCCTACCGACGCGTTTGTTCTCGAGATGAAGGACTTCGACCTTATTCTCGGAATGGATTGGCTATCCTTTTATCATGCAGATATCAAGTGTCACGACAGGGAGATTACTCTTTATCTTCCGAGAGACGAGTCGATTACTTTCGTCGGCTCCAGAAATCGTTCTTTGCCTTATGTTGTTTCTATGGCGAAAGCCACTAAGTTGCTGCAACGAGGCAACCACCAGGGTTATCTGGTGAGCCTTGTCGATGATTCCCAGAGAACACGTTCACTTCACGATGTCCCAGTCGTTCGAGAGTTTGTAACGTATTCCCAGACGAGCTTCCAGGAGGACCGCCTGATCGACAGGTGGAGTTCTCTATAGAACTTATTCCAGGGGCCGGTCCAGTATCCAAAGCCCCGTATCGTATGGCGCCTAAGGAGTTGCAGGAGCTTAAGGAGCAGATTCAGGAGCTGTTACGACTCGGTTTCATCTGACCGAGTGTGTCACCTTGGGGAGCACCCGTTCTCTTTGTTAAGAAGAAGGACGGATCCATGCGCATGTGTATCGACTACCGGGATCTTAACCGGTTAACGATAAAGAACAAGTATCCGCTTCCAAGGATCGATGACTTATAGGATCAGCTGAGGGGAGCCTGTGTGTTCTCAAAGATTGATATGCGATCAGGCTATCACCAGCTGAAGATTAAGGAGTCAGATATAGCTAAGACCGCTTTCAGGACTCGTTACGGCCATTACGAGTTCGTCGTCATGCCATTCGGTCTCAGCAATGCGCCATCAGTTTTCATGGATCTCATGAACCGTATCTTCCATTCCTACCTCGATCAGTTTGTTATTGTCTTTATTGACGATATTCTTGTCTACTCGAAGAGCCAGAAGGAGCACGAGGAGCATCTGAGGGTGGTTCTTGAAACCCTCAGACGAGAAAAGTTGTTTGCGAAATTCTCCAAATGCGAGTTTTGGCTACAGTGAGTATCCTTTCTGGGTCATGTGATTACTCAGGCAGGTATCGAGGTGGATCCTTCTAAGGTTTCAGCTGTTCAGAATTGGTCGACACCGAGGAGTCCGACCGAGGTTCGCAGTTTTCTCGGTCTAGCTGGATACTATCACAGGTTCATCGAGGCTTTTCCAAGATCGCCCTCCCTCTATCCCAGCTGACGAGGAAGTCTGTGAAGTTCGAGTGGACTGACAGATGTGAGTCGAGCTTTCAGGATCTCAAGAGGAGATTAACCTCAGCACCGGTGTTGACTATTCTCGATCCTTCTCGGAGTATCACCATTTTCAGTGATGCTTCGAGACAGGGCTTGGGATGTGTCCTTATGCAGGACGGCCAGGTCGTCGCGTATGCTTCCCGTCAGCTTAAGCCGCATGAGCAGAATTATCCGACGCACGACTTGGAGTTAGCAGCAGTCGTTCATGCTCTCAAGATTTGGCGGCACTACCTTTACGGCGGTCACTGTGAGATATTCACAGATCATAAGAGCTTGCAGTATATCTTTACTCAGAAGGAGCTCAACATGAGACAGCGCCGTTGGTTAGAGCTCGTCAAGGATTACGACTGCTCTATTTAGTACTATCCGGGAAAGGCGAACGTCGTTGCAGATGCCCTAAGCCGACAGGTGAAGGGTGACTTGACGTACGTCATTACTCAGCAGAGTCCGCTGATTCAGGAGTTTGCTCGGATGCAGCTTCAGGCGATTGATGCACTTCCCATAGCAGTTTCGGGGAGTACATGTGCTAGTGTCAGTGCTATGCAGCTTCAGCCGACGCTGAGAGAGAGAATCCGACGAGAACAGGCTTCCGACGAATTCGTTCGTGTCATGGAGGCCAAGGTTCACGTCGGGGGCGTTGAGGGTTTTCAGCTAGGTGCCGATGGTGCCCAAGAGTTCAGAGGCAGGATCGTGGTCCCGAA